ACTATCATGATTTTGACAGATTGAATTCATTACATGATTTTCACCATAGCACAGTTGTGGTCATCACTGATGGTCCAGGCCTGCCCAGTATCAACTAAAACAAAACATTGATAATGTGGAAGATTAAAGATCAAAACCAAAGCTTTTGTTGGCATGTTTAAAATATTCAAATAATGTCACTCCTTCCAAACCTATAGGGATTAAAGCTTCAATGTTGTCCTGCAATGAGCAGGGAGTTGGACTCGATGATCCTTATGGGTCCCTTCCAACTTGAGATATTCTGTGATCCTATGAAATTGTCCATCCATTATAAAACTGTAAAACATACTTAAGTGGGAAAAAAAATTGAAGTGTGAGGTTTTATAGATGAAACTTTTCTGTACATTAGGAGAGACTTTACCTTCCATTTGGACACAAGATTTTAATGTTTAGATTAACAAACAGCTGCTACATGTGTGCTAGATCAGCCTCCAAAAAACATGATTAACCTACTATTAGCAGTAGGTAATAATATAGCATCATATGAATCCTCAAAAATTAAAAGATCCCAAGTGCTGAAATATACAATGGGTGAAGATGGTTTTTACTGCCCTCAACCAGGGATGGGTGAATTTACTAAAGTAGAATGAATTCAGTCTTAAAGTGTTATGGCTACCAGAAGTAGCATAAACCCTCTAGGTCAGAGTTGAGACATGCTTTTCTAATTAACACTTTTTTGGTCAGGCTAGAAATCAGAACACTGTATACTTAAAACATATCTGAGTTCATTTTGCATATCCTACAAAACTTCCCTTTTTTATAATCCATCCTTTTTAAACTATCAAGCCTTACTTATACAGTATATAGCCTAGAAGTGCTTTTGGGAAATCTTAGTATATCTTTCAAGTTTATGAAAATGTATGGAATATCATACCGTAGAAATCCTGCAGAATAGACCTATGGAGGTTTGCAGAGTGATATCTAAAACTGCTGTATCAGCATTTGAGTTTCAGTTGAAAATGTTGTTTTGCTCTGACTTACTGTAATACCTACCTGTAATACTGAAAGTAATAAGCTTTAGTCTAAAGAGCACTTCCTGCTTAAAGTTCAAAGGTAGGGCTTGTTGTCTTATTAACTACTGTTAACGTAGTAGTTCTTTTTATTAATCTTTAAATATTTCCCAGGAATTTGAAGCATATTAAAATAGCCTTTGTAACTTTAAACAGTAAAGTGGTTTGTAGCATGTTGTGACTTCAAAGTGAAGCAGAAATGTCATATCTTGTGTTCATTTTTTCACTTCTGCCTTTTCAGTATTATTAAAAATATTAAATGACATAATAATTTTGGAAGATATTCTACTATTAGGGAGGAAATGAATTTTTAGTAGCTTTTGACAAAGTTAGAACTGAATTGTCTTCCAAAATACCAGGTTTTTATTTTCCTCATGTTATGCACCAGCCTTCTACAAAACAAAATAACAGATAAAGCAATGGGTACTGAGAACTAGACTGAAGCAACATCGGTCGCTGTATTTCAGTTTGCTTTTATTTTTTTCAGGGATAGTGGATTTAAGGGATACATATTTGGAAAGCAGAAAGATATATAGATAAATAGATATAAAATTCAAATTGTTCCATGTTTTTCTTTAAGAATCTTATCTTTGATTTTGTAATGTAAAAAGATTTTTTTAGTGTAGTGTAGGAGAAACCAATACCATGTTAAAATAGACAATTAAACAGTTTTAAATGCTTCTAATGGAGGATGAGGTTTGTTGCAAAAGATGTGACAAATCTCATCCATTTGTTCATCTTTCAAAATAGTTCTGCTTTTTGTAAAATATCTAATGCAATTTGATCTCTGCTTTCTACTAAGAATGTGTTGTAAGAAATACCCTGTTGAGTTAGGCAATTTAGCACCTTTTTTTCTCCTCTGATGCCATTTGGGAAGAGTTGTGAGTTTGACCACTTCTGCTCACTTATTTCCCTCATTCATAGTTGTTGTATTGGGGATTTTGGAGGTACACACATCTATCCCCTTTAAGAAGTGTTTATAGATTTGTTGTCCATTAATTCATCCATATCCTCTTTGAACAAGCTGACATCGGCCTCTGTAACTTCATTTGGCAACTCGTTCTGGAAGTTTGCTGCTTGCTGTGTAAACCAGTCTTCTACCAGCTTCATTAAGTGCCCCCACTTCCAGTTTCACAGGTTTGGTGACAGCTCTGCATTGCCTGTATCTGGTTTTTGTTGTTTTTTCTTTTCCTGAACTGCAATTGTACCCTAGTAGCTCTTGTGCTTCCTTCAGAGCATGTTTAACATTTGTGCTTTGCCCAGTGGCTTAAGAGGGCAAATGTTCGTGTTTGTTATTATGCTGTCAAAGAAAGTTTATATATATTTTTGTGTGTGTATTTTAAGAAAAGAACATAACACAAACATAAAATGTTAATAGCTTTTACTTTGGGGAAGTAGAGGATACTGTAGAAACATTTTACTTTTACACACTTTTCATTAAACTTGCTTCCAGGGAGTGTTGTACTTCTGAAAATTAAAGTCCTTTTGACTTGAACTTTATTATTCCTTCTTATTCTACTGAATGCAGGCAGGAATCTTTCTGCCTAGCTAAGGGGCCATTTTCCTAAGGTGTTAACACTGGGTTTATTAAATGGTGTCCTCCTTAGGTAGTCATGACCCTCTTATCCTACATTCAGTGAAGCTGGTTTAGAAACTCGGGTCTTGTGAGTCTAACTTTTCTGAAGTACAAATGCGCAGGAGCATGGAAAGCAGTCCTATGTATAAACTAGAAGTTTTCTTTATTCTTTAAAGTTATCTCAGTTAGCAGTTACATCAAGCCTAAGTTCCTTCAGGTTTTCTGAGCTTAACATCAAAGAACAGCTTTGAAGCCCTTTTGATTTCTACATGGACTCTAATCTGAGAGGGCTATCTAAGCAGTAGAAATTATCAACACCTGCAAAAGCAGCCTTTCTTCTCCAGGACAACTAAGATACTAACTGTCGAATACCTGTTAAATCTCTCTTTTTTTTTTTTTTTTTTTTTTAAGGAGAAAAATAAATGTTTCACAAACAGTGGGTTTCAGTGGTTTCAGCCTAAGTGTGTGTTTGCAGTTGCCAACTTATTTCTTGTGAACAGACCAATCCAGCTCACCTTCATGCCCAACAGAACAGTGATGCTGCAGCATACTGTTTGGGCCAAGGATGTTACATAGTAACAGGAGAGAGGTAAATGTTACGATTGTTCCTGTCACTGGAGTGAATTTATTGCATATGAACAAAATGTATGACTGTATTCTGCTACCTGAAAGGTACTAGAGAAAGTGAGCTGCCTGGAAGGAATTACTGCAATTATAAGTATCCCCCTCTGAATTCTTTACTGGAGTTTTCAAGACAAT